GGTGCTTCCTCTTCTGGGCAGGCGTGAACAGAAAGGAAGGGGGCGAGGGGAGGAAGGGGCAGCTGGGTCCCAGGAAGCCTCAGGTGCTTGCTGTGGCCTGGGGGAGGGCCTGGGAGCCCAGACTCCCATGAGGGAGAGGAGACACGGAGGTGAGAGGCCAGCCCCTAAGCCAGCGGTTCTCAACCTGTGGGTCGCGACCCCTTTGGCGGTCGAACGACCCTTTCACAGGGGTCGCCTAAGACCATCCTGCATATCAGATATTTACATGACGATTCATAACAGTAGCAACATGACAGTTATGAAGTAGCAATGAAAATCATTGTATGGTTGGGTCACCACATGAGGAACTGTACTTAAAGGGCCAGAAGGTTGAGAACCACTGTCCTAAGCAGAGGGTCCTGGGTGCTGGTTGTACACCTGAGGTCCGTGCTAGGAGGAGGGGCCGGAAGCTCGCCCTTTCACAGGTGAGGGCACCGAAGCTCAGGGGGCAGGCCTTGCCCCAGCTCATGCACTGGTCAGTGGAGGGGCCAGGATTCATCCCAGATGTGCCCGTGGCCACTGGGCTCTGAGGTGTGGCCTTTACAGCAAGAGAAAGTCATGGACCAGAGGGGCGGGCAGCCGGCATCTGCGTGCAGGCCCCCTGACGCGCTAAGGGGCCCAGCCTCTCGGTGCCTCTGCCTCTGCCTCAGCCACGGTCCCACGTGGCCGTCCCAACAGCAGCTGGCACAGCGGGGCAGGGCTCTCCTTCCTGTTCCCCATCCCCTCGGGCTTCCCGCAGCCCAGCCGGGAGCTGGTGGGACAGCAGTGGTTTCAGGGGGAGACCGATTCGAGACGATGCAAGAGAACAGTGGGTTTTGAGGGGGGTGATGCTGGGGGAGCCCCTGTTCGCCGCCATGAGGTCGGATGTCTCTTTACTGTCTGTCCCCCCGGGAGTGAGCCCCCGGGCAGGGGCGGCAGGAGGCCTGTGGGCGGCCGCTGAGCACACTGCCTTCCCGCCCGCAGGTCCAGCTGGGAGCTCCCAGACCTGCTGGAGGGCAAGATCGAGGCCATCAGCGACTCGGACGGGGTGAACTACCCCTGGTACGGCAACACCACGGAGACGTGCACCATCGTGGGCCCCACCAAGAGGGACTCCAAGTTCATCATCAGCATGAACGACAACTTCTACCCCAGCGTCACGTGGGCCGTGCCCGTCAGCGAGAGCAACGTGGCCAGGCTGACCAACATCTACCGGGACCAGAGCTTCACCACGTGGCTGGTGGCCGCCAACACCTCCACCAACGACATGATCATCCTGCAGACGCTGCACTGGCGCATGCAGCTCAGCATCGAGGTGAACCCCAGCCGGCCCCTGGGCCAGCGCGCCCGCCTGCGGGAGCCCCTCGCCCAGGACCACTGGTCAAGCCCAATGCCAACGACGCTCAGGTCCTCATGTGGCGGCCCAAGTACGGGCAGCCGCTGGTGGTGATCCCGCCCAAGCACCGGTAGCAGCGGCCGGGGCGCCGCGACCCCAGCCCTGAGACCGCTCCAGCAGCCCCACGAGGACGCCCAGCATCCAGCAAAATACAACCGTTCTACCTTGTCCCGCGGGGTCTCACTGTGCGCACGCCCGATGGCCTCTGCCCTCTCTGATGAGCCGCTGCCTCGCGGGAAGGGGGGACCAGCGGGACAGAGTAAGGTGAACCGCAGGTGCGCCCTCAGGTCCCTGGGGTCTCCCCTCCTCTCCTCTCCTCAGTTTCATTCACCTGCAGCAGATGCCCACACAACTGCTTTCAGTCCTTTTTCTTTAGACGCCTCTCTAGGAGGTGCGGGCGGGAGGAGGGGGAGCTGATGAGTGACAGGCCCGCTCTTACTGACTGGGGGTGCCGGGCCCTCCCACGTGCTCCCCGTCCCCGCCCTCCCTCACGCGGCCTTATGTAGACTTGCTTTGCCAAACTTTTGCCTTAAGCTGAATTGAAAGGAAAACCACTGGAACGGACCTAAAGCAGGATCTCTCTTCCACTGGACTTTCATCTCCTGCCGGGGGGTTGGGGAGGGGTTGGGTCCGGAGGAGAGAGACTTCCTGAGCCCCTCCTCCCAGGCATCTTGGGACAGAGGCAGGGACACAGACCTAAAACCAGCGGCTTATTCTTGTGTTTCAGCAGCAACAAAACCACAGACAGACGCTGCCTAAAGAGCCCCAGGGGGAACCCCCAACTCCTCCGTCCTCCGTCCCCTGTCCCCTGTCCAGGTGGCTCTGCTGGGGCTGCCCTCTCCTCTCTTCCCCGCAGCCTTGCCTTGCTGGTGGGTCGTGGAGAGAGGGAGGGTCCTGGGAGCTGCGGGTGGAGCCCCGGGCATTTCTGCCCTCTGTGCCCAGCACCATCGCCCCCTGGGGGTCTGCCCCCGCATCTCACTCAGTACGCCTTTTCCTTCCCATCCACATTGGTCTCAAATGCCGCGGGGGTGGGGGTGGGGGCCCAGGTTTAGCTCTAGTTGGCAGGTAAGAGGAAGGCACCCCTTGCCCTCCAGGCTTCTTCTCAGGGGACATCTGAACACAGCGCTGGAGGGAGCCATGGAGGGAACACAAGGCGTGCTGGGCCCGCAGCCTGTCCTAGGAAGTAACCCAGGCCCAGGGTTGAGCGGCGTCGGAGCGCAGTGGAGGCTGGTCTGGGACAGTGTGCCAGCCTTTGAGGGCCACCCTCCCCTCGGCCTGGGCACCCGGAGTCCCAGGACTCGGTCCCCAGGGACACCACGCTTTCTTAGCGATGTCTGCCTTGAAGGCTGCTTGCAGGAGCTGTGGGGGGTGCCCCGCTGAAGCCCCTCTTCCTCCAAGCTTGCCAAGCCCACAGCTCCATCA